TCTCGTTACACAAATAACAAGATCGTTCGAACCACGTGTCCCACAGCAGCGTTCCTGGCATCTCTGGATCTCTAGATATCCACTTATTCATCGAACATTACGAACGTCACGCGATTGTCAGAGGGTACAGAGACTTGGGCTGAAAATTTCGCAAGGATTGGCCAAGGGACGGTGGTGTCGCAAACGGCCGAGGAAATCAATCAATCTCGCTCGAATTAAATATCACGAGTGTTGGGAATATTTACGGATCGATTTACGATCAATTAGCCGACCGATCGGTAGAAATGTTACTCGATATTGGGTCACGTATGGCACCTGCAACGGGTTTCAATCGGGTGCCAACCACCGCGCCGCGAGTCATAAATAGCTGGACAGAATGGTAATTATAGATCGGTAACGTTAGAAATATCATTCACGTGTTTCGGTATTACGGAATCGATCGAATAATGCGTAGCTTGTACGCAACTTAAGCCGCGTGTACGTTTCCAATGTACTCCCATGAGCGATCGCAGTGACGCAACGCTGTCGAGAACAGGTTGGTACTATGCGTAACAAGTAATTAGCGACTGTTAGACCGTGCACGTTCCACTGCCTCGACGAGGTGACCCGACATTGCTTTATGTGTTACAGAATAATATTCCCTATGGCACTACTGAATTTAACGAGTTTTTCTTTTTTAATTCTTGGCGAGTAGCGTAGATTGGAATATAATTATTTCTCGTACTTAGATATTTAGTGTCAAGATGTCTGACGTGGTCTGACCATAATACGAGTATTCCACTTACCTAATAGCGCCAACGTATCGTACAAGACATAGTCCTGTTGATCCTAGTCTAACAGGAACCTAATCCCAAATTATTTGACAAAAATTCTATATGGTTACAAAAATTTACGAATTTTATTTATTTATGCAACCCTTTTTGTTCACTATGATTAGGTCGAGAATATCAATAAGAAGAATTTGGAAGAATTTTAATACGAATTATGCAAATGCTTTGTATAAAATTCCACAGTTCAGTGATGATTGGAATATTTCTAGGGATGTTGCGAAGATGTTAGTTACAAAAGTTACTAGGGCTAGTGTCCCTAGAGAGATTGAAGATAAGGTCTATTTACCGAATTTGATGAGGAAGATTGGGATATTTGGTAAACTTTCTGGGGATAATCATAGACTAGGGAATTGCCTGGTTCATTCGCGAAGGTTGCGGTCGTCGGTGTTGCAAACGCACCGAAAAACGCGCGTGTGTGGGCGGGATACTGGGGAATAGCATCCACCATGCTCGGTTACTCTCCACCGTATGGTGTACAGTTAGGCGTGACGCAAGCGCGAGCTCAGGAACGGTATGAGATCCCAATTATCGGGTGCTTCCGGTTTCTAAGGGTCTCTCGGTTGCTTGGAACAACGCCTCTGCCAGCGTTCTCGAAGCGATGAAACGCTGCCAGCAATGGGAAAAGCGTGCGAGCCACCGGTGTGCGAATTGAATCGTGGCTAAGGTGCTCAATGGAATTGCTACGTAATTTATGGCCATGCTGCGGATGATTAAGGACCATCTGATGTAGCGTGTCAATGGGGACTAACTATAAATGGTGCTGACCCACGAACGTTCTCGTAGGTATGCTTCGAATTTTTCCTTTACAATGAACCTAGCTCGACCGGTCAAACGATTGGGAGACGAGGGAACGAAACGAGAAGAATTTTAGAGTAAATTGGAACATCAGGAGATATTGGGAAATCAATTACACCTACGGCGGAAAGTATTCGAATGATATAGCAATTTTAAGAGAGTACTATAGTCATTGATTTTACCCCCTCAAAGCCATTTTCCGTCAACAATAAAATCACTGCACGCGAACTGACATTAAAATCGGAATTCTTGCGTCAGGAAACTTGGAATACGGATTTTTTAGCCTTTTTACGTTCTTTAACCTTCAAGCTACCTGTGGGTAAAAAATCTAAAAAATCGGACCACGGGGACTGCCATTTTCATACGCACGAATGCGCCGATCTGCGTATCGATTTGGCAGACTTTGGAAATACGTAGCCTGTCTCTATCCTTTGACTTTTTTAAACGTTTTATACGTCAAAAAACTCGTCTTAAAGAGCTCTAAAAAATATACTAAAAAAATCTTTTTTTTTTAACCCATACGATTTTTGCCGATTTTTCGAGTCCACGGTGGATACATCGGTTTGCCCGATTTCGGAGAAATTTTGGAACGCGGATTTTTTAGCCTTTTTACGTTCTTTAACCTTCAAGCTACCTGTGGGTAAAAAATCTAAAAAATCGGACCACGGGGACTGACATTTTCAGACGCACGAATGCGCCGATCTGCGAATCGATTTGGCAGACTTTGGAAATACGTAGCCGGTCTATCCTTTGACTTTTTTAAACGTTTTATACGTCAAAAAACTCGTCTAAAACAGCTCTAAAAAATAAGCTAAACAAATTTTCTAGAGTTCGATTACGTTCGTGACCTATTGTATGTTGAATGAAAAATTTAGCCGATGTTACTATTAAATTTTCGTTGTCGTCCATGATTGTTTCCCTTCGTCTAATTAATTTTCTAAATACATATCGTGACAGAAACTATGGTAATTGACGAAAATTCGAGCGCAGTTAGCTAAAATATCGACACTGTCGAAAAATATCCCACTCTCAACGAGGTTCCTGCAATTTTATCGTGCAATGTACTATACACCAAGAAGGTGTCGAGAAAATAATATACGAGACACACGTCGATAACGTGACCGGTGTACGAAGCACGCGTTGATAACGTTTTAGAAACTTCGTTAATCGCGCGTGAAGGTATCCTCGAAAGAACGCGGCTTTTAAACACCTGATGTTAAAATTAAAGACGCGCCGGAGATATACGCTCTGACCACCATAGTCATTCCGCGTGTTATTGCGGAAGTGGCGTTCGAACGATCGCGGGGAACCGTTCGCGGTGATCCACGACAATCGGATAAGCACGAAGATCACGGTTGTAAAAGTACCTTATAAAGCCACACTTTATACGACTGTCCCGAGCTATCCATCTTCTCCCTTATACGGTGATTTCTGTCGTTTAGAACGAAATACAAAGACAGCTTCATCGGCTACTACGTAACCAACTCGCGTACTTCAAGGTTGGATCGCTTCGACGTAATTAGGATTTTCTCGTTTTAATTTCGAGTCATGGTAATTACGCTAGAAACAGCAGATTTGGTTCTTAATTTCCTGGATGGTTCATTAAATAATTTTTCAAAAATTACGCGTGGAATATTAATTTCATTCTGGAGAAATGACTTCGTTTCGATTTTTTGTTTCAATCTAGGGGAATTTAGCGTCGAGTCGTGGTAATAATGTTTCAAGTTCGAGGACTGCCCGATAACTATAAAATTTCCGGTTCTACGCTTCGAAATGTCAAAGTGATACGTGGAGTACTAATTTCATTCTGGAGAAATGACTTCGTTTCGATTTTTTGTTTCAATCTAGGGGAATTTAGCGTCGAGTCGTGGTAATAATGTTTCAAGTTCGAGGACTGCCCGATAACTATAAAATTTCCGGTTCTACGCTTCGAAATGTCAAAGTGATACGTGGAGTACTAATTTGATTCTGGAGAAATGACTTCGTTTCGACTTTTTGTTTCAATCTAGGGGAATTTAGCGTCGAGTCGTGGTAATAATGTTTCAAGTTCGAGGACTGCCGGATAACTATAAAATTTCCGGTTCTACGCTTCGAAATGTCAAAGTGATACGTGAAGTACTAATTTGATTCTGGAGAAATGACTTCGTTTCGATTTTTTGTTTCAATCTAGGGGAATTTAGCGTCGAGTCGTGGTAATAATGTTTCAAGTTCGAGGACTGTTGGATAACTATAAAATTTCCGGTTCTACGATTCGAAATGTCAAAGTGATACGTGGAATACTAATTTGATAGCGAAGAAATGACTCCGTTTCGATTTACGGGAATTTAGCGTTGCGTAAGGAAGAAATCCTGCTTTTATCCCAAAACTAAATTTCAAAAAAACATGGAAGAATTCGTAATTTATGCTTACGATTGAAACGAAAAGTAGAAAGTTGGAATGGGCTGAATAAAATCACTCGAATGAATTTACAAAATTTACAAAATTATAGTACGTGCACATTTGCAGGCAAAAATTGAGAAACAGTGACCATTTGCAAATTTTTATACAAGTCAAAATTTAAAGTAGCCTTTATAAAATTAATTCTTCACTGATGTACCTCATTTTAACCTCTGAATTACAGATAAACGACATATGCTGTATTAGTACTTGACGTGAAATTTTTATTTTTGAATTTTAATATAAATACCAAGACTGTGTATATGGTGCCAAGTTGACGTCATGTCACCAATCGTAGATTAACCCTTTGTACTCGACCATTTTTTGGCTAAAGATGAGTAGAAGTTCAAAGATTTCCTGCTATAAAGTTAACGATATTTTTTCCAGCAGTAAATAAGAAATTCTATAATAATTAACACGTAGAACTGTTTGACTTCTATATCTTACATACCTTTACATTATCTCAAATTTGATATATTAATTAATATACATCTTCGAAATTTTGTCTAACGGTGACTTCAAGAGTCACTTAATAAAATTTTGGAGATCGATATTAATATATCAAATCTGAGATAACGCAACAGTGCCTGAAGTATCGAAATGAAATAATTCCAAGTGCTAATTATCACACGATTTCTTACTTATTGCTAAAAGAAATAACGTCAGCTATAGCAGAGAATCTTTAAACTCCCACTCTTCTCTGAACAAACAATCCTCGAGTGCAAAGTGTTAAGATACGCATGAGAACAAAAATTCGCAAATGATCACTCTGTCTCTCAACTCCACCCGGTAGCAGCCAAAGATTCAACCTACGAAAAGCTGGAAGAAAGAAAAACGAAACGTCTATCCTGGAAACAGGATACCTTGGACGATGCTTCAAAACGAGACACGAAATATCATATACATGCATTGTCACGAAACTGAAGGATGAATTCCTACCTGATTGATGTCGCTGCCCAGGTCTCGCGCGCTCTTTGCGCTCCTCAGCTGGTCGCCCCTGTACTCCCTGTACCTGATGGTCACCTCGTCGTCGGTGAGGGCGCCACTGCTGCTGCTCCTCGCGTTCTTCTTGTTCTTCTCCTCCTTCGCCTTCTTCTCCTTCTTGCTGAACAGCTGCTTCACCTTGCTCATCGTGCCGCTCTTCTTCGCCGCCTTCTTCTCGTACTTCTTATCCGCGCCTGACGGCGGCTTCGCGGTCACCGGCGGCGACTTCGTCATGTCGTTCGTGTATTTATCGTACTTGCGTTGCTCCGACGGCGTGAGATTCATGTTCCGATCGGTGTGCCGTCGCTCGTGCTTGATGAACTGCCTCGTGACGAAACCCTCGTCCTCGGACTCGATCTGCTCCCTGCGGTCCACCTCCTGCGAGTCGCGCCTGTAATCGTTCTCGATCCCCGAATCGGCCAGACGATCCTTCCGATCCGAGTCGCTCAGTCGAGTCTCGCGATGTCTGCGCTCCGTGTGCGTCCTGGTCTCCTGCTGCCTGGTGTGTCTGGACTTGCCGCCATCGTGGTAGGCCCTGGGTGGCCTGGTGGGACTCTCGTCGAAGGGTTCCAATCGGCCGACGATCGTCTTCACCCGCGGACTCTCCCTCGCGTCGGAATCGTCGAAGTAATCCAGTCGATTGCGCGACCTACGCAGGGGCTTCTTGGGGTCCTCGTCGAGCTTCCGGTGTTCCTTCCTCAGCGTTCGCGACGTCTCGTCGAACCGAGTCTCGCAACGGATCGAGTCCCTGGCCGTGGTGTCGGAATCGTATCTGCTCGAGTTGTACCCCCCACGATCGGTGCGTATCCTCGGCGGAGAACTGTCGTAATCATCGTGGGTAGGATGCTTGCTGCTGGTGTATCGTTGAGTGGTGCGCGTCTCTTTGTAGTACTTGGACTCGAGCTGACTGGTGGTCATCTGCGAAATATCGGTGTCGTAGTCGTCGTTTGGACCCTCGCGCAGGCTGTCCAGGTGTCGTTTAGCGAAAGGAGACCTCTCCTTGCGACCGTTCATAGCCGGACTGTCCAACAGGGGTCTACGCACGTCCCTGGCGTTCACGTAGTCGGCGTGGCTGCTCAAGTTCTCGTGCGACCTGGTCGTGTACTCGCTTCTGAGCGCCCTGACTCGCGAATTCTCGCCCACCTCGTCCAAACGTTGCGTGGACTTGCTCATACCGCGGATCGATTCGAAGTTGTTCTTCTTCTTCGGTAGATAACTGTCCCGAGGTCGGACGTCTCTGTCGAGGAAATCGTCGCTCTTGGAGAATTTCCTCTCGGTCGTGGTGAACTTCTTGGCGAGTACGGGCGATGGGAGGATATTATTCTCCCTGGACTCGGCCCGGAAGTGACGGGTAACGGTATTCTCCTCGGGACGCAGGTTGGACGACTTGTAAGGGCTGGTCGAGTTTCTGGGTGCCTGGTACCGGTCCTCGGGACTGGTTCTACTCCTGTCGCTGAGGAACGGCTTGAAATCGCCCGCGTAGCCCTCGTGCGTTCGCGTCTCGACTATATACTTGTCCCCGTACTTATCCGTCCTCGTTTCGACCGTGTACCCGTCCCTCGGCTTCGTGTCGATATAGCCGTCCGATGGAATCTTGTTGGTGATCTTCTTCTCGTAACCGTACACCTTACCGTTGTCCTCGTGTATCTCCTTCTCGAAAATATACTTCTCGCCGTTGCTGTTGGTGCGCGTTTCCGTGATGTACGTGTCCATGTAGCGTTTAGGCGAGGCCACGCGGTTAGGAGTGACCGGCGAGGGGACGATGGGCTTGTCGATGATCTCGTGCTCGGATTTCTTGATCGGCACGTTCGCGCTGTTCTTCGCCGCGTACATCTCGTCGGCCTGCAGCTTCGACTTGATCCTCGACTCGAGCAGGTCGCGTCTGGCGCTCAGCTCGAACGTTTTGTTCGATATCCCGCCTTGGCTCGGCCTGCCGGAGAATTCGTTGCTGTCCCGTTGCCTGGCATCGGTGCCATCTGCTCTGCCTCTGCCGGACGTGTCCACGAATACCGTGGACGTGTATTTCTCCGGCTTGTCGTACACACGTCTGTCGATGTCGTCCAACTCGTGACGCCGTTTCACGTCCGCGTTCCTGCTATTCCTGTCCTCCTCGTATCTGGATTTGAACGCGTTGATCTCGTTGTTGCGTCGCAGGTCGCTGCTGTACGAGTAGTCCGTTCTACGGTACTCCTTCTCCGCGGGGCTGTTCTCGCGTGACGAGTCCTTCCTCTCGAGACCGAGGCCCTCGTCGCTGTCCGAGTGGCTCCTCTGCGCCTTCTTCTTGTCCGGCTGCACCTGAGCGTAAATCACGTTGGTCTGCGGGGGCGGCGGACTACAGGACTCGTTCGGTCTGGTGTAGGAGAACGGTCGATTGTTGTTGTGACCGAATCCAGGGCCAGGCGAGACCATCGTTTTGGTCAGCTGCGGCGGTGGCGACCGATCGCTGGATAATCGGTGAATCATCTTGTGTATCGTTGACTCTTCGCCGGTTCGTTGCTGAAGATCGTATCGGCTGCTGTGCAGCATGCTACTTGTACCGACCTTGTCTACTTCGTCGATCCCGGTGTTCTTTGCCGGTGAAGGGGTCCGGGTTCCTGCCTTCTCTTTCCTCTCTTCTCCCTCGCCCTTCCTCTCCTTATCGTCCGCCTCTAGAACGACAGGTATGCGTCTCACGGTTCCCTTATTCTCTCTCCTCGGCGATATCGGTGGCTTCCCGATACCCGCTGCCTCTGTCACCTCGCTCTTCTCTCTCGTTGTCACCGTCCTTTCCGCGAGTTCCCTCACCTTCGCGGCATCGGTGCCCTCCTGCTTCCACTTCTTCGCCTCCGGCCTGTTCCCGTTCTCCCCGTTCTCCCCGTTCTCCACTTTACCGAAGTGAAACGGCTGCTGATCCACGTGCGGCGACGCCTCGATTATAGGCGACAATTGCTTCTTCGCCCGGCTACTCCCCAAATGCGATCCCTCGCTCTCGCTTCCGCTCCGCTTCCGATGCGATCGCGACGAGCTCTCGACGTCGCTCGCGCTACGACCCACCGGCTTCCGCTTTCTCTCTAACTTCGGGGAGAAGAACCTCGCCAGGGGACCCCTTAGCTTCTTCGCGCTCGCATCGCTCGCGCTTCTCTCCAATGCCTTCTTCTTCAGCCTCGGTGTCTCCACGAGGTCCGCGCTGCTGGTGGCGCCGAATTCCTCGCTCCTGCGTCTCACATCGAGCGGCAGTTCCGGCCTCTTCTTGTTACGCCGCGCTGGTAGTGTGCTGTATCGACCTGGCAATCGCCTGTTGTCGTGGGCAACGCAGTGAAGGCTGCCCGCCTGCTGAAGCACCAGCGCCGCCTCCTGGGCTAGGTCCTCCTTGCTCCTCGACGCTATGCTCTCCTTGTGCACCGGGGTGGCGATCAACCTGCCTTCGCCATCTCCTGCCAGAGCCGCGGTCACGCGGGGTGCTCCACGTCCTGCAACAATCCCATTCATAGCACCCGTTAACGAGGGACTTCGAACAGGGAGAATCCTCGCAGGAAAGTGGCAATGGGGCGAAATTAGTAGCGCGAAGGCGGAAGCCGATTCGACGCAGGATTGAAATTAGGTATCGACGGGTCGTCGTGGAGGTACTTCGACGTTGTGGCAATTCAACGGTTTCGAAATCTCTGCCAACGCGTTTGATATAAACCGCGAAAGCAAGAACAAACGAAGCTGTGGGAGCGGTTAGCTACGAGGTGGCGGAATATCGCGTTCTCTATGCTAAAAATATTCAGGGACGGAACTTGCGTCACAACCTGCTATTACGCGAGAGGAAAGAAATGCGTAATTTAAAAATTCTTTCCAAGGTACCCGCGGCGCAACGTGGGCTCCAGTGTTTAAGTAATTCCGTCGGTCGGGCCCGAGTATGCGTAATATTTCACGTATTTAGGGTAACTACCCGTTTACCTTGCCAAATAACACGCGAAGCTTTCTAACAATCTCGTTAAGTCATTAACATCGAAGCTTTCGCGGCTCGTGCCGGCGGAGCTTAATTCTCTCGGCATTACGACGTTAAGAGGAAAGTTTCGCGCGGATTATTAAAAGCGGGGAATAACGAATTAAGGCTTAAGCAACACCGAGAAACTAATGCGTTCCTTCATAGTTCTCCTCTGTTAATTCCCTCTCGTATTAACCTTCGCGGTAAATCGTTCAGGCATTAGCTGTCATTTTTACAAACACGCGCCAGTAATTTCCGACTCCGCATCATCCTAATTGCCGCGCGATTATGGTCGCGCCAGCGATCAAACGGACTAATTATCATTCGTTTAGTCCGACGCGATCAATCTGTTCGAAATCAACCTAACCCGAATTTTCGACTAATTCCTTTCGCGGTAGTAAATCCCAATTTAAATAGAAATCCCAAGATACACAAAGAGAAGACCAATAAATACGAAGAAATAAAAGAGTCTACAAAATTTGACATATTATTGAGATGAGTATCGAAAGGATGCCGATGAACCAAACCTTCGTTTTCAATGACTATGGCGTATCAGGTGGTGCCAAGTGTGTCAACTCCGCGAGCAAGGAAACTGTCATAGTCATCGTTTATTAACACGATTCTGTTCAGTTTCTCGCGGGGCCCAAATCCGTCTGTCAGCGCGTTAGATGTTGGTCAACGGACCCAATTCACAATTTTCAATTTCCACGTAGCAGGATGTACCATAATCGTTTTGAATTACTATCAGCAAACTCGGATTTTACAACCAACGAAACGATAGAACAGAGCAGCAGACTAGGAAAGATTTTACCACTCATAAACATATCGGCAGACAATTATGAAAAATATAAAAGAAACTACGACCTATTATTCGAATTGTCGAAAATCACCTGGAATGTGTTTAGTCTGTTTTAACGAATGCCATGCGACATAGTATAATTTAATATTTCATCCTGAATATAAATTAATAAAAAGTGTTAATTAATAAAAAAACATAATGTGTATATTTTTAACATTTTTATCTTACATATCCTATATTTATATTTCAGTGCTCTTAAATTCCTTTTAAAAATCCAACTGACAATCCTATCTAACTTAAACGAGAAGCGTGGCAGCCATATTTGGGTGACGGGGCCCCTTGATGACATAGCAGTCATCCAGATGTGAATGACGCAGTGACGAACGTGTTAATCGTCATTAGCCAAGTCGTAATGAACATTCGACGATGATTTTCTCCTTCTCATCCTTTTCCTCCCTCGATCAACGACGAAAATGGAGGAAAATAGGGAATGACAGAAATAAAAGGGGGAAAGGAGGAGAAAATAGGGGGAAATGGGGAATACGCGAATTCCACGTGATCCGTGACTTAACGAAGGGGGGCCCGGATGGCAGAATTTTAATTGGACGACGCCGGTCGTCCGAAAACGACGTCCATTAGCAGCAGCGCGGAGGGGGCCGGGGGATTCCATGGCGGATAATGGATTATTCCACGAGCGACCAGGCGCATTATTGGATTTGTAAATTAGCGATTTATGTTAAGCAGACCGGGTTGGTCGTTAGCGGTTAATCACCAAGTTTAATCAGGTGCTAACCGCTACTAGAACAAGTCGGATAGGAAGAGGGAGGATGGAGAGGGGATGGAGTATCGCCCTCGTCATCTTTATAATCCAGCAACGACAAGAAATTACCGTCTCCTCCCTGCCGGTCGTACCTTTCGCCACTGACCCGTGCAATCGATCGTTAAATCGAAACAAATATCGATACAGCGGTCGAGCGCCGTTTAATTGCCGTTCGATATAATCGAGGGTAATCGACACTCTCGGGTAGTTGTATTTCACGTTCGATGAGAGGTCGGAAGCTAGCTTCCATGTTCCATCTCGTTCGTGGAAAGTGAAATTAGGACGATCAACGTGTCTCTATGATCGATCACTCGTCGATCCACGAAGGATCCTCTATTTTATTTTATCTTTTTTTATTTTTTTATTTCAATAGGAGGATATGATGATTGGTACTTAATTTTTTAATAGGTGATTTAGGGAATTATTTGTCTTTCTGAGGTGTCACTGGTCGATCCATGAAGGATCCTCTATTTTATTTTATTTTATCCTATTTTATTCTTCTATTTGAATAGGAGGATATGATGATTGGTACTTAATTTTTTAATAGGTGATTTAGGGAATTATTTGTCTTCCTGAGGTGTCACTGGTCGATCCACGAAGGATCCTCTATTTTATTTTATCCCTTTTTATTTTTCTATTTGAATAGGAGGATATGGTGCTTGATACTTAATTTTTTAACAGATGATTTAGGGGCTATTTGTCTTCACAACGTATCACTCATCGATCTATGAAGGATCCTCTATTTTATTTTATTTTATCCTATTTTATTCTTCTATTTGAATAGGAGGAT